CCCATTTGATATGTTTCGCGATGTTTCGTGTAGTTTTCGGATGCACATTGCAATTTTATGGATATTCCATGATATCCCCATTATGTGCCCCCATGTTGGAAAAACCCAGAAAAATGGTCTATGGGCACGTGGACTGAGCATAGCTTTTCACCTATCTAACTGTGATTTCAATGAGTCAGCCCCCCTCGATGTTTCTCAAGGGGCCCAGTGGTTGTTTTTCCAAGACAAAAACATGCACCCGCCGACGTGAGGAAAGGGGGTCCCTTAAGCTTCAAAAAAAGGAAAGACCATGGCATGAGTCTAAGCAATAAATTCTTGAACCCAAAATTGAATGGTTGTTTCATCAAGAAAAGATCCATTGGGACCACATTTCCCTGACCGATAGCCACCAGAACTTGCAGCACCGGGCAACTCTGAGCCGTTTCCTCTTCAGGCGTTGCAGGGGTTGGCGGCAAGGCCACAGCATGACCTGCGCTGCCCATTGGGTGCAGTTAGGGGTTATCAATGGGTATAACTATGGTACTAACCTCCATAAGTTGGGATATGGGGCCCCTACAAACTCTGTGTTTTTTTCATTCCACAACTGCACCCCCAAGTATGAGGTTGTCTCAAATATATATATATATATATACACTACGCCCCCAAATCCCATTTGTGAAACGGTAATTGGGGAGTATTTTCCGATGTTTGGACAAACCTGTATGGTCATGGTGGGCCTGCCAGACATGGAGAGTCAACAAGATTAAGAATTGGAATGAAACGGTATAATAATAACTAGACATAATAATATCATCATGTGTCATCGTTAAAACATTAATAAAAACAATTAGAAAAGAGATGCAGCTAAGAACAAAAATAACCTACCAATAGCTCTTTTCGGATTCCTTGCCATCAATTCTTAGGGTGTATCAGTTAGTATTATGCTCCCCCGTCTTTCTCGTCTAACCGCCCACATTATTATACAAGCAAATTGTTTGGGGTTAATACCAAAGACAGGGGATCAACACCTTATAGAAAACAATAACATAAATCATAACAACAAACAACAACAAAGAAAAAACAAAACAACATAAGCAATACAATAGATTATAAAATAGTCTATACTCTATACCATAAATCATAACAACAATAACAAAATCAAAACAACCTACTACAAACAAAAACATAACAACAAAACAACAATAACAAAATCCTAACAACCTACTATTAATAAAACCAAAACCATAAACCATAACAACCTCATCATATCAACCCATCTCATCCATCTCATCCCTAAAAATTATATAATATGATCATCATAATTGTATTGAATAATGTTCATCAAAGCATATACAAATATACATCATCTTACCTTATCTATTTCATAGGTGTTATTTCTAGAAATCATAGTTGCTAGAAATAGTCCTAGAAAATAATTGCAACATAAATTTAATAGAATTATGTTATTACATTTATGGGGATGGCCAACATAATTTTCATAATCATTTATTATGAAGATTATCGGATTAATTACCACAGTCTCCCCCTATAGGGGAAGCCTCAGCCCCCAGCCAATATCTTTCTCAACATATCTCTTTAATTACCGCAATTACCATGCCCAAACCGCCCTTCATGAACTTGTTGATGACCATGTCTTCTTAACCTCAGTGCGATGTAAATGGCACAGCAATCCAAACTTTTGGGGCGAAATGGAGTGAAAAAGACTTGTGTGGTGTGCCTTGTTGATGCCAGAATGTCAAGCTTTTGAAGGCTCACTGGCATGAATGCTCTATTGAAGCAATGTCCTATTCCTACTTGACACCCTGAAACCTTGCTACCTACAGACCTTGTCAATCATAAAAGCATCTGCTAAAAGCACTGTTTTGCAAGTCGCCCTGGTGGCGGGTTGCGGCAGTAAAAATAAACACGCTTTACCGCCACAAGCGACCCACGAGCCCTGGTGGCGAAGAAAGCACTGCTTTGTAAGTCGCCCTGTAGGCGAAGCAAAAACTGTTTTGCCAGTCACCATGTTGGCGAAGCAAGGCCGTGAATCATCATGCGTGCTCGATCTCACCCACTCACGGCAGCTGACTAATTAAGGTGTACCAGTAATGTTCCTGTTCTGGGCCCCTTCCGCACGAGAGCAAATGCAGCAATCGCAGAAATCAGGGCAAGACCCGCAATAGGCGCAGCACTTCGTGCTGCTGCGGTTCTGAGACTGGGCTGGAGGGGCCCAAACAGCCGAGTCTGAATGCTGACGTTCCATTACGTTGTTGGAGCTTACGCACAGTGCAAGGATGAGGCAAGCGAATACACCGGATTTGAGTGCCATGGCAATGCCGACACCCCTGAGCTAAAAAGCGTCCTGAGTGGCTTGATAAAAACTTGCAAAAACAGCTACGGAAGACCATAAAGATGCTGAAAAAACATGACAAACTTCCAAGCTCAAACTGAAAGCTGTAGCTGTCCGATTGAGAATGTCAAAGGTGCTCAAATTGAAACAAATTCCAAGGTCAAGCCAAGCTCTCCAAGAACATGTGGCTTCAAACCTCTGACTGGCATATTCCCAACAGCTGAGCGTCCCGACAACAGGATGAAGAAGGGATTGGTGACAAAGCCAAGGCGAGGAAGGACAAAGGAACATAGAGTAATCCCAGCCAATGACCCAAACGTGCCAAACACAAATTCGTGGGGAAAAACAAATGAAGGACAAAACAAAAAACCCCGAAACCAGAAAACAGCACATCAAATCAACCATCTCATGGTTGCATCAATAGGCGTGAGTATGGGAAAAAATGCTTACAAGGCTTTCTAAAAACACTAAATCTTTAAAAGTTCGTGCCTCATCAACAATCTTGGGTAATCAGTTAATTTGTAATATTTTTGGTTCAACTTTTCTGCAATCTCTTGCACAACATAATAACCTTTCAGCCAGACACTTTCTATTGCTTCACCTGCCATAATCCTTTCCATTGCTTCTCTACCGAACTGTCTTGCTACTTGTGCTAAAGCGGTTCTTGCTGCTACTCCACCAATAAATCCTATCATTTGATACGATTATTGATTTAGTTTAGAAAAACTAAATCAATAATCCTAAAACTATATTTTTCAAACTCTAAAAGAGTTTTAAAAATAGAGTTGCGCTATTATTGATAAAATATAATCTGAAATAATAATATATATATATATATACTACGCCCCCAAATCCCATTTGTGAAACGGTAATTGGGGAGTATTTTCCGATGTTTGGACAAACCTGTATGGTCATGGTGGGCCTGCCAGACATGGAGAGTCAACAAGATTAAGAATTGGAATGAAACGGTATAATAATAACTAGACATAATAATATCATCATGTGTCATCGTTAAAACGTTAATAAAATCAATTAGAAAAGAGATGCAGCTAAGAACAAAAATAACCTACCAATAGCTCTTTTCGGATTCCTTGCCATCAATTCTTGGGGTGTATCAGTTAGTATTATGCTCCCCCGTCTTTCTCGTCTAACCGCCCACATTATTATACAAGCAAATTGTTTGGGGTTAATACCAAAGACAGGGGATCAACACCTTATAGAAAACAATAACATAAATCATAACAACAAACAACAACAAAGAAAAAACAAAACAACATAAGCAATACAATAGATTATAAAATAGTCTATACTCTATACCATAAATCATAACAACAATAACAAAATCAAAACAACCTACTACAAACAAAAACATAACAACAAAACAACAATAACAAAATCCTAACAACCTACTATTAATAAAACCAAAACCATAAACCATAACAACCTCATCATATCAACCCATCTCATCCATCTCATCCCTAAAAATTATATAATATGATCATCATAATTGTATTGAATAATGTTCATCAAAGCATATACAAATATACATCATCTTGCCTTATCTATTTCATAGGTGTTATTTCTAGAAATCATAGTTGCTAGAAATAGTCCTAGAAAATAATTGCAACATAAATTTAATAGAATTATGTTATTACATTTATGGGGATGGCCAACATAATTATCATAATCATTTATTATGAAGATTATTGGATTAATTACCACAGTCTCCCCCTATAGGGGAAGCCTCAGCCCCCAGCCATTATCTTTCTCAACATATCTCTTTAATTACCGCAATTACCATGCCCAAACCGCCCTTCATGAACTTGTTGATGACCATGTCTTCTTAACCTCAGTGCGATGTAAATGGCACAGCAATCCAAACTTTTGGGGCGAAATGGAGTGAAAAAGACTTGTGTGGTGTGCCTTGTTGATGCCAGAATGTCAAGCTTTTGAAGGCTCACTGGCATGAATGCTCTATTGAAGCAATGTCCTATTCCTACTTGACACCCTGAAACCTTGCTACCTACAGACCTTGTCAATCATAAAAGCATCTGCTAAAAGCACTGTTTTGCAAGTCGCCCTGGTGGCGGGTTGCGGCAGTAAAAATAAACACGCTTTACCGCCACAAGCGACCCACGAGCCCTGGTGGCGAAGAAAGCACTGCTTTGTAAGTCGCCCTGTAGGCGAAGCAAAAACTGTTTTGCCAGTCACCATGTTGGCGAAGCAAGGCCGTGAATCATCATGCGTGCTCGATCTCACCCACTCACGGCAGCTGACTAATTAAGGTGTACCAGTAATGTTCCTGTTCTGGGCCCCTTCCGCACGAGAGCAAATGCAGCAATCGCAGAAATCAGGGCAAGACCCGCAATAGGCGCAGCACTTCGTGCTGCTGCGGTTCTGAGACTGGGCTGGAGGGGCCCAAACAGCCGAGTCTGAATGCTGACGTTCCATTACGTTGTTGGAGCTTACGCACAGTGCAAGGATGAGGCAAGCGAATACACCGGATTTGAGTGCCATGGCAATGCCGACACCCCTGAGCTAAAAAGCGTCCTGAGTGGCTTGATAAAAACTTGCAAAAACAGCTACGGAAGACCATAAAGATGCTGAAAAAACATGACAAACTTCCAAGCTCAAACTGAAAGCTGTAGCTGTCCGATTGAGAATGTCAAAGGTGCTCAAATTGAAACAAATTCCAAGGTCAAGCCAAGCTCTCCAAGAACATGTGGCTTCAAACCTCTGACTGGCATATTCCCAACAGCTGAGCGTCCCGACAACAGGATGAAGAAGGGATTGATGACAAAGCCAAGGCGAGGAAGGACAAAGGAACATAGAGTAATCCCAGCCAATGACCCAAACGTGCCAAACACAAATTCGTGGGGAAAAACAAATGAAGGACAAAACAAAAACCCCCGAAACCAGAAAACAGCACATCAAATCAACCATCTCATGGTTGCATCAATAGGCGTGAGTATGGGAAAAAATGCTTACAAGGCTTTCTAAAAACACTAAATCTTTAAAAGTTCGTGCCTCATCAACAATCTTGGGTAATCAGTTAATTTGTAATATTTTTGGTTCAACTTTTCTGCAATCTCTTGCACAACATAATAACCTTTCAGCCAGACACTTTCTATTGCTTC